TCTAACGTCAACCAAAAGTGTCATCGTGGCTCAGGTCTCCATTTGATTAGCACAGAAACTGAGACTGAGCCGGGAAGAGAGGGACTTCTTGCCTGGGGACACATTGGGTCTGCAGCTTCCATTGCTCCTTTGCAAGTGCAGCCTACCCAGGGACAGGTTGGAACAGGAGGCTCTTGTTTTTATGTTTTAGGGGATGAATCAGGGGCAGGGGACAGGGTTATAGGGTGCTAATCACCTCAGCCCTGCTCTGCCCCAGGGCTGCATACAAGGGGGGTTTGGGTTTGATGAGGGTTCCGGGGGCCTGGGTCATGGGTTCAAGCCCTGAGGATTCTGGGCGACATGGCAAACCGGCTCCCACCCGCTCCGGGACATCTCCCTCCTTATCACAGGCAGGCCAGAGGGGTGCGATGAGTCAGAACTGCCATTATTTCCAACATAGCAAGTCGCAGGGACGGACTCTCTCCCAGCTCCCTGCCCAGGTCCAGTTTCTCAGCTGAGCTCTCGGGGGACCCTCCATCATGGTCCCCACTTGCATGTCTTTGAGAGACACCTCACTGACAGCACAGGTGATGGGAAGTTCTTCCTCCTGCCAATCTGGGGTCTTTTTCCCTGCAACTTCTCCTTGCCACCCCCCTCCCCCTAGAACACACCTCTTTCTTTTGCTCCTTGGTGGTTTTGCAGAGAGAACCCGGAAGTTTCTACCCACCATGCCCAGCCCCACAATCGTATGCTTGGCCCAGGAGGGCACTCATCCAGTGTCCATGTGACCCGCCCCTAGGGCAGCTCCTTCGGTGAGCTGAGTGAGCCACGCCCATCGGCATCACAGCCTCACGACCGCACGTGTGGGGGATGCTCAAACCTGGTTCTGCTGATGTCAGGTCAGTTCGGCCCTAACCAGGGCCCTCTCCAGCCCTTGTGGGGACAGCGACACTGATGGGCACAGGGGATGGCATCCCGCGTACAAGGTAGCCGAGGGGAGGAGCTGAGGCACACATGGGATGACTTGCAGACTCCTGGTCAAATGAACCTGGCACCACCTGTCCACCTGCTCCTCTCAGATTCCGCTCTCTGAGAGCCTGGGGCAGGGAAGCCGTGTTCTTGTTGCCTGCCGACACATCTCTGCCCCAATCTGAGCACTCCGTGAGGGAGGGGCACAGGGCTCACCTTGTCTGCGTTGTTGGAAACTGGCGCAGGGCGCAGGGCCCAGCAGGTGCTCGGTGAACCTTAATTGCATGAATGAAGGAGCATCCTCCCCTCCTTGGCTGGGAGTGGAAGGGAAGCGTCCCGGGCCCACCCTCCGGGATCGCTGCCCACACCCCGGCCACACACCCCGCCCAGCCCATAATCCCTCTCTCTCTCTTAGTTGTCACATTCCAAAACCTGCCCTCCCTTCCCAACTTCCTTCTTCCCGCCCAAGTCACGGGGCCGGGAGGAGGGGAACGTGTCAGCCGTAGACACAGACCATCCACTGTCCTCCCCATCCCCCCTCGCCATTGTCCCTGTGCCTCCGTCCCCTCCAGGCCCAGCCACCAGGAGTCTGACTTCAGAGATACACACACGCGCGAGTGCCAGTGCGAGTTTTGCCAGTGGTTGGTTGTGAGACCCCAGGCAGGTGAACGAACCTCTGAGGCTCAGCGTCCTGGTGATGACTGTTCACAGAGAGTCCTTGAGACAGCACCTGGAGATGCTGGGTAGTCAGGCAATGTGTTCGTAACTGCGTTTTTATCACCATCCGTGTTTACACGGGGCTGCCTGGCTGCCATCCCATTAATGCCATCCTCTGGAACCCTCTGCTGTCGGTTGCGTGGCTCTGGCTGAGTTATGGGGTCTCTGAGGTTCATATTCCCTTCCTGGCCAGGGCCTGGCCCCCAGTGGGGCTCAGCCCGGCAGGCGCTGCTGAGTCTGGCAGCATCTCCCCGCCTCGGACTCGGTGTAATTGGTTTTTAATGGGCTCCATTACGACCTTGTCCTTGGGATGCATCACAGGCACCTGACCTCCAGAGCGCAGTGATTAACTGGGGAGTGGCCCGGGGCCTCTCCGTCCTGGTCCTGGTGGAAGCTGCAGGCCTCCCTCTCACTGGTGGACACCAGTCCAGCAGCTCCAAGGAACCAGCCACAGCCAACCTACACAGAGCCTCCTACTCATGTCATAGACTCTCTCAGCCGAAAGGTTTTAATTTGATAACAGCCAACAGGTCTCGTTTGCTAACACAGATCAGCCAGGAGGGACTGGTGAGGAACCGCACCAAGGAGAATTGTGGAACCTCGTTCAGGCTCCGTGGAGTCAGCTAGTGATGTCTGCCAAGGACAGAGCGAGAGGGGCTGGAGGAGGAGCCCCGGGATGATGGACGGATGTACTTTCCACCCGGGATCTGCCATCTCATTCATTCATACAGAGTGCGTGGTAGGCACGGGCTCCCGCTCTGAGGAGCAGACGCTCTCAAGGATCCAGGAGTGGGGCCGGCGCCGCGGCTCACTAGGCTAATCCTCCGCCTAGTGGCGCTGGCACACCGGGTTCTAGTCCCGGTCGGGGTGCCGGATTCTGTCCCGGTTGCCCCTCTTCCAGGCCAGCCCTCTGCTGTGGTCAGGGAGTGCAGTGGAGGATGGCCCAGGTGCTTGGGCCCTGCACCCCATGGGAGACCAGGAAAAGCACCTGGCTCCTGGCTCCTGGCTCCTGCCATCGGATCAGCGCAGTGCGCCGGCCGCAGCGCGCCGGCCGCGGCGGCCATTGGAGGGTGAACCAACGGCAAAGGAAGACCTTTCTCTCTCTCTCTCTCTCTCACTGTCCACTCTGCCTGTCCAAAAAAAAAAAAAAAAAAAAAAAAAAAAAGGATCCAGGAGGGGAACAGGTGCGTGGCACAGCAGTTAAGACATCAAGTGGGGGGCCGGTGCCGTGGCTCACTTGGCTAATCCTCCGCCTGCAGTGCCGGCATCTCATATGGGCACCGGGTTCTAGTCCCGGTGCCCCCTCTCCCAGGCCAGCCCTCTGCTGTGGTCCAGGGAGTGCAAGTGGAGGATGGCCCCAGGTGCCTTGGGCCCCTGCCACCCCCATGGGGAGACCCAGGGAAAAGCACCCTGGCCTCCTGGCTCCCTGGGCTCCTGCCCATCGGATCAAGCCCAGTGGCCCCGCCCCCAGCGCCCCCGGCCGCGGCGGCCATTGGAGGGTGAACCAACGGCCAAAGGAAGCCCTTTCTCTCTCTCTCTCTCTCTCCACTGTCCACTCTGCCTGTCCAAAAAAAAAAAAAAAAAAAAAAAAAAAAAGGATCCAGGAGGGGAACAGGTGCGTGGCACAGCAGTTAAGACATCAAGTGGGGGGCCGGTGCCGTGGCTCACTTGGCTAATCCTCCGCCTGCAGTGCCGGCATCTCATATGGGCACCGGGTTCTAGTCCCGGTTGCTCCTCTTCCAGTCCAGCTCTCTGTTGTGGCCTGGGAGGGCAGTGGAGGATGGCCCAAGTGCTTGTGCCCTGCACCCACATGGGAGACCAGGAGAAAGAACCTGGCTCCTGGCTTTGGAACGGCGCAGCACTGGCCATAGTGGCCATTTGGGAGGGTGAACCAACGGAGGGAGGACCTTTCTCTCTGTCTCTCTCTCTCTAACTCTATCTGTCAAAGAAATTAAAAAAAATATAGATATCGCGTGAGATGTTGGTATCCCATGTTGGAGGGCTTGTGCTTGAGTCCTGACTCCACTCCTGACTTCACTTTGCTGCTCACGCATCCCTTAGAGGCATCAGGCGATGGCTCAATCACCTGGGCCCTGCCGCCCATATGAGAGGCTGATTTCTGGGCTCCTGGCTTCATGTGGGGAAGCAAACCAGTAGACGGGAGATCTCTGTCTCTCCGTTTCGCTTTTCAAATAAAGAATGAAAATTAAAGCAAAGAGAAGCCAGGAGGATCCAGAAGACCTGGGGGGATCGAATCGAACCCGATGATCAGTCGATATCGACATGCTAAGGCTGATGCCCCAGCCTCCCACAGTTACAGCTGTAGAGATCATGGTTCAGAGAAGGAACGGTCACCCAGCGAGTTACACACCTGACGTCAGAACCCCCAACGCTGACTCTGCGCCTTGGTACTGCCAAGCGCGAGCAACTCCCGGATACTTAGGGCAGGAGCACAGAAAAGCAGGGCCCCTCTGCACTAGGCCGACGGTGGGGACTCCCCCGGCCCCAGAGCCAGGCGGTCAGGGCTGTCTGCAGCCGGGGAGGGGAGCAGCACTCAGAAGGGCCTGGGTGCCCATCAACTGCCAGGAGGGCACGTGAGGAGCAAGCTTAGACACCACAGGGGAAGGGAGCGCCTGCCTTTGCAGGGTTGACGCCGGTGACTGTCGCCTGACGCTGAGCAAGGAAAAAGAGCAGTGTAGACGCCGGAACACCCCCGAGAGACCCAGCAGTGTAGGACGTCCGCTTCTGCAAGTCCCAGGGCTGCGAGGCGGCCTGCTGCTCGCGCTGTTGGGGACACATTAGCCCCAGCGCTGCTGTGAGATGCGGCCTGGGAGACCATTGACATTACAACTCCCAGTTCACAGATGAGAAAGCAGAGGCACCAAGGGCAAATCCTCCTGCTCAAGGTCATGGAGCTCTGTTTGCCACAGGCATAGCTGCTCTTGCTCTCAAGAGCAAGGGCTGGGAATTAGGAGGGGAGGCAGCCCCTGGGCCTCCCTCTCCTTCCTGCCCAACAATGTCTCTGGATCGGCCTTGGAGGCATGGTGCGTGGGGGAGGTTTTAGTTTGGCCCCTGCTGGTCCATTCCTGCCTCCTCTGGTTCATCAAGGAGCGAGGGGGAGAGCCAGCCCCTGCCCGGCCTCTGGGTGCTGGGCGGCAGCCTCTTTCCATCTCTGAGCGTCTGTTTGCTCATGAGCTCGAGGGAATGCTCCATGGACCGTTCGGCTTTAAAACCCCCGCAATCACTGATCCAGGCTCTGCCCCAGAGACCCTCCTGTTCCTGGAAGCTCCTCCCGCGGCCCCCAGGCCCTGAAGCCCCCAGGTCCTGCCACTCACCCGCCATGCACCGGCCAGTGGGACGCCTTGCTCGCTCGGTGGGCACGCACGCACGGTGGAGTGTGAAGTGTCAGGGCACCCAGCCAGCTCAACAGTAACCAGGAAAACTCAGGGCGCTCCTAGGCAGGGGAGGAGGAGGCGTGGCCCGCCCCGGCCCAGCAGTGACACCTGTGAGGCGCATAATCACCCGGTAATTGCCCGGGTTGTACCTCGAAGATGTCCAGGGTGGGAGTGGCTCCAGTGAAGAGGCCTGCTGGATGCAGAGGGGAGATCCCGGGCTGTGGAGGAATCAGGCGCAGAGAGCTTGCAGGGCTGATGGGATTGCGGAACTGGGATGGGGGGGGGGGCGGGGAGAGGGAGAGCAGGGGGGCTGGTGTTGTGGGCAGCCATTCTTGCCCCTCACGACGACCCTCTGAGGACGCTGTGGAGGTGACAGGGGGGGACTGGAGCCAGGCGTCCCCGAGTCTGGCCCGGCGTGGTCTCTTCCCCCTGGGTAAGGAGATCCCTGGAGCCCAGGCATCCACTGAGGCACGGGCCCCCGGCCCTCTTGCAGGGACATTGCCCTCACCGCGCCACACCCGGCCCGCGCGTGTACACTGACAGGTTCAGCCTCGACTGAGCCCTGAGCTTCAGAGGAATGAGCTTGAGGCCCGCCCCCCCCCAGGCCTGAGTGTGAAGACCGGACCCACCCCCGCCCCACCCATTCACTCCGGGACCCCCGACAGATCCGCGTCTTCCTTGAGCCCCTTGTGGGGCTGCTGGGGTAGGGGCGTTAACTCAGCTCTGGGACAGAGCCCCGGGGTGGGGGTTAGGAAGACATGACTTTCCTGCCCCTCCCCTAAGGGTCTGTGCACACTCTCACCACCTCTTCAAAGGCTCTGGGAAGCCCAAAAAGACCCTGCCTTGGCTTCCTGCGCTGTTCTCCGCCTTTTGGGCACCAGGAGGGCTTCCTTAGCACAGCCCAGCCACTAGGATGACGTTGACCTGTGCACCTGCTAGCAGGTAGATAAGAAAGAGGGGAGCCAGCTCTCTGCTTCGAAGGCCACATGGCTGGGCCCTGACTTTGCAAGCTGGCTCCAGCCTGGGGCTGAGACCTGGCAGCCATGGGCACCCCCAGGTCCCCCCGGGACGCCCTCTCCTCTCCCAGAGCCTGGGAGTCTCCACCTGTCAGTGGAAGGAACTGGATTAAGTTCTTCTCCAGGGCCATTCTAGCTCAAAGGCTAAAATCCAGGGCTTGAACATCCTGGCACTGTAGGCCTCTGCTGACTTCTGTGTCGTGACCTAGAGGAAGCTTCGTTTTCAGGGAAGCCAGTGGGCAGTTTCTCTTTGCTGGGGAACCCCGCCCTGGCAGGCTGCATGGGGGCTGGGCCAGAGAGGAAGGGGAAGGAGGAAGGAGGGGCAGGTGTGAGACAGGGTGAGGAGGGGCAGGTATGAGACTGGGTAAGGAGGGGCAGGGGTGCCACTGCTCCCTGGCCTCCCCAGGGCAGCCAGGAAAGTGCACCCAAACCCCGAAGTGCTTGATGTGGCTGGGTTTCCTGTAGAAAGTGGCGAGAGGCAGAGCTCTGCTCACGGCTCTGACGCAAGGCAAACATGTCTAATGGGTGCTTTGCAGGCCCACACAGCCTTATAATTAGGGCCGTCTGGCACGGGCCCAAGGGAGCTCCTTCCCAAACGCCTGCAGCTGCAGCTTGGAGGCCAGCAGATCTGCACCGGCCCAAGCCGCCCTTCTGCCTGTGCAGGGCTGGGCTCCTCCCCGCTAATGACAGTCCCGGGTAGGGCCCTTTGATCTTACATCTCGAGTTTGTGTCTGGACAGGGGCTCCCAAAGATGGGGCATTCGGAGCCACTGTTCCCCCTTCCCTAACCAGTGATTCCAACTGAGACTTTAGGGAGTAGCTCAGCCTGGCAACTGAGCCCCGGGCGCTGGGACCTCTGGGCCACACAGGCTGTGTGGCCCTGCGTAGGTCACTCAGCTTCTCTGGGCTCCAGTACCCCCACAGGTGAGAGAGGGTGTGAGCCAGGTTTGATGGGTTCTAGCCGTCTCCGATTCTAAATCCTCAGACCAGAGATGGCAGGCAGGAGCCCGAGACTGGGGGCTGCTTAGAATCCCCCCGTGGAGGCCCCACAACCAGTGCCCGGCAGATGGTGGATGATTTACAAGTTAGAATCTGAGCCTGTGGCATGATGAGATACTTTAAGAGCAGCTTAATGGCTCTTCTGACCATAAAGATGATACATAATCATGTGGGAAACCCGAGCAGTGCAGAGAAAGAAAGCACAGGGCTTGTCATCGCAAACCCATGGGAACACGGGAACACGGAGGAGCAAGACCCACACGCCGCCTCGTAACCTGTCCTTCCCATAATCACACACCGTGCTTCCTTTTTTTTTTTTTTTTTTTTTTTTTGATAGGCAGAGTTACACAGAGAGAGAGAGAGAGAGAGAGAGAGAAAGGTCTTCCTTCCGTTGGTTCACCCCACAAATGGCCACTATGGCTGGCGCTGCGCCGATCTGAAGCCAGGAGCCAGGTGCTTCCTCCTGGTCTCCCATGTGGGTGCAGGGCCCAAGCACCTGGGCCATCCTCCACTGCCTTCCTGGGCCACAGTAGAGAGCTGGACTGGAAGAGGGGCAACCGGGACAGAATCTGGCACCCCAACCGGGACTAGAACCCGGGGTGCTGGCACTGCAGGCGGAGGATTAGCCTAGTGAGCTGCGGCACCGGCCCGTGCTTCCTTTTCGATCACAGAATGCTCCCACGGATGTGCCTTGTCATGCTTAGCGTTGAGTCTTGTGTGACTTGCATAATTTAGCCAACCAGTCCCAAACGGATAGGAATTTAGGTTGTTTTGCCCTTCCAAAGAAATATTTTTTGAAGATTTATTTGAAAGGGAGAGAGAGAGAGAGAGAGATAGGTGAGAGAGATTTTCCATCGGCTGGTTCATTCCCCCAAAGCCCACAACTTGGCTGAAGCCAAGAGACAGGAACTCCACCTGAGTCTCTCACTTAGGTGGCAGGGACCCAAGGGCTTGGGCCATCACCTGCTGCCTCCCCAGCACATTAGCAGGAAGCTGGATTGGAAGCGGAGCAGCGCTCCCAAGTGGGATGCGAGTGTCCCAAGCGGTGGCTTAGCCTGCTGTGCCACATTTTTGTGTACTTTTCTGATGAACATTTTTTTAAAAGATTTATTTATTTACTTGAAAGGCAGAGCTACAGAGAGGCAGAGGCAGAGAGAGAGAGAGAGAGAGAGAGAGAGAGAGAGAGGTCTTCCACCCTCTGGTTCACTCCCCTGATGGCCGCAATGGCTGGAGCTGTGCAGATCTGAAGCCAGGAGCCAGGAGCTTCTTCAAGGTCTCTCACACAGGTTCAGGGGCCCAAGGTCTTGGGCCATTTTCTACTGCTTTCCCAGGCCATGGCAGAGAGCTGGATTGGATGTGGAGCAGCCGGAACTCGAATTGGCACCTATGAGGGATGCTGGCACTGCAGGCAGCAGCTTTACCGCTAAGCCACAGCGTGGGCCCCTGGACAGTTTCTGAGATGTGAAACTGTTGAGGCAGCAGTTTCATACGTGGGATTTGTTGCATGGATACACATGCGTTCAGAGGTGTATGTACAAATATCTTTACTGCAGCATAAAGCGTCACACAGTGAAAGCACCCCGTCTCCTTCAGTGAGTCCTGACTGTGATGCAGCCGTGCAATGAAGAACTCCGCAGCCATTCAGCAAGTGGAAGTGGGCAGGCGTTTGGCCTGGCGGCTGACGCCTGCATCCCTTGTTGCAGCGTTTGGGTTTGAGTCCTGGCTCTACTCCTGATTCTGACTTCTTTCAATGTGCATCGTTTTTATATTGGCACCCTAAGTCCTGAAGGCTGTATGGATTCTGTCAAGTTCAAAGTCTTCACCATAGCCTCCAATGGCCTTTGCAACACAATCCTGGTTTTCCCAAGTCTTTGTGTTTCTCTGCATAAATACTCTGCCTGGCACGCAGACCCCTGGCCCAACTCTACCATGGCAGGAAGTTCCTGAACCAGGTCCTCCTATCGCTAGTGCTCAGGTGGGAGCCCACAGCCAACAACCAGACTCCAGAGCTCAGAGCTTGGATAGATACTTGGTGCATAGCAGATGCCCAGTGTGTAAATAAAAGCGGGTTCCCTACCTTGCAGGTTTGCTTGACATCGCGGCTCCTAGTCACCCAAGCTGAATTCCAGTGCCGCCACTTGGTTCCCTGTTTGCCAGAATCTTCACCTCTCCGTGGCTTGGCTTCCTCACTGTATGTGATGGAGGATAGGAGGAGCAGCCGCCCTTGGGGAAATGAAAGGTTCATGTATGGAAAGCACTTGGAACGGTGTCCAGCACATGACCCACGATGTTATTTGTTACTATTACTATTTATGGTTTTCTGTGCCATCTGGTTTTGCCATTTGAATCTTCACTGTCATGGCAGCGAAAGTCAGCCCTAAAGCCCTTTGTGTCCATCTTCCCCCACTGCCAACATTTATCAGGCTGGGCTCTTGCCTGAAAGCCTTCCTAGCTCTCGTGCTACCAACTGCATCCCAGCCCCACTGTCCTGTGGGAAACCAGGCCTGGCTGCCACAGCTTCCAGTCTCTTTGCTTGGAGCTCCTGGGCGTGTGTGTCCATCTGTCTGTGCACCTTCCACTGCAGTGGTCTCGACTGAGCGTGTCTGGATGGTTTCAGCTCTCACCTGCCCGCCCAGCCCGGAGCCCTGGATCCCCGGAGAGGCGGCCGAGCTGAAACGCGCTGTCCTTGCTGGGGAGAGGTAGAGAGAAGCAGGGGCCTCTTTTGACAGACCATGAAGGACAGGGGAGGGGGCCCTCTCCAGGACGCGCAGCGGCACAGCCCTGGGCTGGGCCCCTCCGCCCTGAGCAGTGATGCGTTCTTAGGCACCAGTTGCCACCTTGGGAAAGTAGGCACTGTGTTGAGTTGACTTAATTTCCAGTTTCCTACTGTGTTAACAGCTGGCCCGGGGCTGCACTGTGGCTGGCATTTCAGGTTTTGGGACGTGTGTCCAGGCTGTTCTAGGCATGTCGGAGGCAGAGCTAGGAATCCCTGAGTACGAGGTCCTAGGGCAGTGGCCTTAGCATCCCCTGGGGGCTTGGGCCCTCCCCTGGAGCTCCGAGACCAGAATC